GATGTCCGTTTTCGCTATTTTTAAAGTGTCTTACAATGTTCAAAAACTGTTTTAAATGCTTGGGATCGTTAGTGCACCTTGCAAAACCTGTGCAAACTTAATTTGGCTTTGTTCTGAATCTTCGTTAATTTTTGGTGAATTTTTTTCTCCCCCATTGGAATGCATTGAACAGTTCAATGAATTCCAATGGGGGAGAAAAAAATTCACCAAAAATTAACGAAGACTCAGAACAAAGCCAAATTAAGTTTGCACAGGTTTTGCAAGGTGCACTAACGATCCCAAGCATTTAAAACAGTTTTTGAACATTTTAAGACACACTTAAAATTGCAAAAACGGACATCGTTAAGCGAAACAGGGGGACCTAAACTGTCATTGCTAAGCGAGGCAAGGTCCCGAATATTGCTATGCAAAATTTCCCCATAGGAAACATCGCTAAACGGAGCGTAAAAGCGCTGAAAAAACCCATCGCTAAGCGAATACATCGTTAAACGAGGCAATCGCTAAGTGAGGCACCACTGTATAACTCATGGGAGAGGTAGCATGGGAACCACAGCAGAATCTATGGGAAGACTCTTAAGCCAATAGGAAACTCAGAGTCATAATGGTGCCCAAGATTTGTTGTTGGCAATGACACAATATTTCCAAAGTTTGGAAAAGTTACTTTTTCAGACTGTAACTCCCTAGATTCCTCCAGCCTTGCTTGCTGAGAGACTCTGAGCACTGCAGTTGGGGGGAAAAGGTAACTTTTCCAATCTAGGGAAGTTTCAGAGTGAGGTTTGATGGTGATAGCTAATAACAATTATTGTGTTGTGAGTGGAACAACAAACAAATAAAACTTCTTGTCATCAAAATAGGTCAGTAGTTCTACCAGATAAGAACCAAGATGTGCTGTAATGACAGAAATAGTTTACAACAGGGGTGAGCAACAGCAAGGCTGTTCTGTATTCCTCAGCCACTGATTCATTTCATCCTGCCCACACACAAAAAGTATTCTTTGGCAAAATTAGCTGAATTGCTCTCCTGGAAACCTCAAGGAGCAGCAACTTGCCATTTAAATAGGCCACAGACCCCTCCACCATTTAATGCCTCTTAGGTGAATACTACTTATTCTTCCTAATCAGATGAAAAGTTTCAGCTGCTTCCATGCTCACTTTTGCTTGTTCTGTTTTTCGCCATTTGGGGTGGTCTGTGTGGCCCCTCCATGATCGATGGAGCAGAAAATTTGCTCCCTGAACTTGCCAAGGTCTACCATCCCTAGCTTAGAAGCTGGGTAATAAAAAAAGAGTGAAGACAGAGTTTTCTGTTAATTATAATTCTTTGGTGTGTGTGCACGCATTTCTGGAGTGGTGCACACATGTCCCTTTTCAGGCATCCTGCCAATCTGCCACATCCAATATATTCAAGAGATCATTTAAATGGAAATAGGTGACAACAGCCAGGTATCTGTAAAAAAGGAATGACCTCCTGTTTATCTTAATCGATTTGATGCTGAGTGTTTTCCATAATGCTATCTGCATTCTGCAGGAAGTAGGCTAAGTTTCCTCGAGACATGACAAGGAAGAGACCTAGTGAACCTGACAAAAGGCTTGAAACTCATTTCGAATGCACCTCACCGTTGCTTATATCAAAGCTTTTCAAGGTGCCAAGATGACACTGACAACAGATTTAATGCCTGCCTTGTAAAGGAAAGCCACACAACAAAGGACAGGCAAGGATAGCTGCCTGCTCTGCCAAGTCATCTGCTGTCGACGATAAAGGTCTGGCAAAGGGCTTTGGGGGCAGATGGGAAGCCAATCTGTCCAGGTTCAGGACTAGAGAGAAAAAGTTCTGGCAGTAAGAGGTGGAGCCCAGAGAGAAAGCCTTCCGGACTATGAGAACATGAGGAGAGGAAGACTGTGAAGGTCTGGATCAGAAGATCACGCTCAGCTGCTCATTATCATATGGGGCTTCCTCCTTACTACTAAATGTTAATGTCAGGAGAATGAGGGGGG